GGGGAAGTTAGTTGCATTTCCTTCCTGGGTGCGTTGCGCACATGTGAGCACATTAGATCCTCTTCTGCCTCAGGGTGGGGGGTTGGAAGAGGAAGAAGCCTGCACGGAAGGCATATGGAAAAAAACACCTGGCAGCTTAACTCCTGACCTGGCAAGCGTATGCTCTCAGCAACCGCCTGCTGCCAGCCGAGAAGAAAACAAAGCAGCCATCCCTTCTGCTGTGGCTGTCTTCTCCCATGCTCGGGTTTTCTGTGCAACGTTATAATAAAAAGGAGGAAGGCACTGCCTACAATAGGGCAGTAGTAACTGGGTGCATGATTTACGTGGGTTGTGCACTGCACAACACTGCTAAGCCATAAACCAAACTTTGTAGTGGATGGTTCAGACAGGCAAAGTCCTCACCCAAATAGCAGGGCATCTTCCTGCCAGATGTGAACTGTTGTGGCCCGCCAGTGGCCAGCAGAGCTGGCAGCAGATCCGGACAGGGAGGAGGTTGGGGAGGAACATGGGCCACTCCTGGAGTCTGAGGAAGGCTCTGTGTCAGAGGCAGAGAGGGGGCCAGAGCAGTATGGCAGTTATCAGCTGCCTTCAGAGTCAGACATCAGTGAGGCAGAAGAACAGCTGGAGCCTGTTCCTAATGTGCGCATGCACAGAGCTGGCAAATGAAGGGAACAGCTAAAGAACAGGGGTCGACTTGGGAGAAAGGCCACAGGTGGACGATGAATGGCCCCTCCCAGAGGAAATAAAAGAAGAGAGAAAGGGCAGGGGAGTTTGCAGGAGACAATTAGTTTGCTTAATTGGTTGAGACTCCTTGCCAAGTTTTGCAGATATCGGCCTGGCAGCTCTCCAAGCCAGATAAGGTCTGTGACTATAAATCCTCCCTTGAAAGATTTTGCTGGATGTGAATGAGCAGAATTCACAATAAATTAATAAAAGGGATTTTTGTCGGGACAAGGAGTTTGCTTCATGCTCTTGGGAAGCCTCAGTCAGAACATGAACCCTACCTGGATTCGATTCCCATGAGCCTCCTTCACCCAGATATGATGCAGGGGCTGGCAGCTCGGGCTCAGCAAGGTGAAAGGCATTAGACTGACCTAGAAACAGTCTGAGAAAGGAGCAGGTAAATTCAATATGGAAGCCAAGGACTCACCAGGGCGCAAAGAAAGCCAATTGTGGCCTGGAAAGACTACTAAGATGCAGGGAAAATCCTAAGAATGAGGTTTGCTCAGCTGGGTCCCTTCAATCAACATATTGCTAAGAGCTGTGTTCATACAACACACCAGGGTTAACCAGCATTAATTCAATTAGACCAACTGCCATCTAGCAAAACAGAGTAAATAAACTAATTCAACAGGCTAAATCAGCCTAACATGCAAAGCTAGAACATTATTTGCTAGTTGGTCATTCAGGGTGTTGTCGTATGGACAGATGAGTCATGATGGAAGCCAATGTCTCATTCTTCGACTGTCTCTGTATCGCTTCAGACTTAGATCTGGCTCCTCTGCTTTATTCACTGACTGAATTTTGACTCTGTCATGACAGGCCCAGGGCAGCCCAAACTTTCTACATCTATATTTGATAAAAAGTCAGTGTTATTTTGAAGAGGTAGCCAATAAAAAACATGGGTTTCATTACAATGAAGGACCAGCTACAAATAGAAAAGAATATTTGTAGGTCAGGGTTGAACTGTGGAGTGTTTTTTGAGTTTAGTAGTTGTTTTATTCCAAACATTTCATCACCCATCTAAATAACATCATCAGTACCAGAAGGAAAGGAGGGGTGGCAAAGAGGAGGAGGATAACTATGGAGTCCTTGACGCTCTTTGAGGTTGTTCTCTTGCAAATATTTCATTACCCAACTAAGTAACAGAGAGGGGGGGAGGGGGGAGAGAGGAAGAGGAGGACTGTGGGGGCCCTTGATGCTCTCTGAGCTTGGTTATTTCATCACCCAACTAGGTAGCATGCTGAAGTATCAGCCTTCCATCATATTTTATAGTTCAAGTGTGCAGGACAAACCCAGTAACTGTAGTTAATTGAATAAACCATGGCTAAATCCTTTTTCTGGGTCAGGAGGAATGTTTGAGGAAAGGAATTTAAGGTACATTTCTTTTCCCCAATTTCAAGTCTTCATACTTCAAATCTATTCATCTAGAAACTTTTTTTTAAAAGCAAGGTAATCCACTCCTATTCCAAAGCCACAAATATACTCAGTACAAAAAAAGACTGCATCTTCAAAGGCAGCCTTTTCCATCTTAAAATCCATTCTGGCCCACTGTTTGTTCTCTATAACTCTGTAATTGCACTGTGACTTTCATGTGAAGCCTCTGCCAGATGTTTTTTTTTCTTCCAATACTTCCTTTTGCTCTGCTAACTTTGCCTCCAAATAAACTGGGCATTTGTCAAACAGCGAAAGAATTCTCTTGGTCAAACTCAGATCATTACTAGATGTCCCAATCTTCATAGATCTGGAGCAGAGGTGGTATTCAGCAGGTTCTGACCAGTTCTGGAGAACCGGTAGCGGAAACTTTTAGTAGTTCGGAGAACGGGTAAATTACCAGCTCTGACTGGCTCCATCCCCATCTATTCTCGGCCTCCTAAGTCCCAGCTGATTGGGAGGGAATGGGGATTTTGCAGTAACGTTCCCCTGAAGTGGGGAGGGAATGGGGATTTTACAGTATCCTTTCCCTGCCACACCCACCAAGCCATGCCCACAGAACTAGCAGTAATTTTTTTTTAAATCCCACCACTGGTCTGTAGAAGAAACCACAATATTGCTCCACAACCATCATGAGATTATCATTTGCAGTGATGTTGTGACATGCAAGGAGGAATCACCTGTGCCCCTTGTCCATCCTGCAGATGCCACGCCTGGTTTGATAAACTGACATAAACATCTTTATCTCTTTTTTTCCTGGAACATCCAAAGTCCATCAAATTCCATCCAACCAAAACTTTTCTCAGTTCTTTTCTTCCTCTTGACCCATTCAATCATCCTTCACATTATTTAACTTTTGCCATTTGATTTCCATTCATTCTTTCTATACGACCAATCAGATCAATGGACTTCATAATGATTACTCATTCAAATCATATATTGATCCAGCATTTGATTTATTTTCCCAGATAAACGATGCTACACTTCAATGGTTAGATGAGGTAGACACATTGGTATCTGAATACAGATCTTTTGAACATTCATATTTCATTGTGGTTTTAATTTAGGCGAAATGTGTGTGTGTGTGTGTGTGTGTTGTGTGGTGTTTGTGTGTGTGTGTGTGTGCACATACATACATACGTACGTACATATGTACGTACACAGTGGCCTAGTGATCAAAACGCTCGCCTCCCAGTCGGAAGATGAGAGTTCAATCCAAGGTAGCGGCAAATATTTTTCTCCTAGGACACAAAGAAAAAATATCTGCTAGAAACTCCATGTAGGTATTAGGAAGGGCATCCAGCCAGTAAATGCTCAGTTCCATCCAGTTGCCCTGACTCTACCCTCAATTAAGGGATTTACAGGGTCATAAAAAGGGAGTATATATATGCACACAGGCAAATCTATTTTTAGATATCAATGTCTGCCATATGCTACATAAACAAATACATTCAGAAATTGTTCAGCTTCCATTGACATTTGACCTACTGTACCCTCTTCTCTTTTTGTTTTACAGACATTCAAATTTCTTAAGGGCACCAGTGCCATTGCAATCAACCTTCTAAGTTTCTCCTGGCTTATTACATAAGACCCACGCAGGCAGGCACTCTTAATACAGTCATTACTGCTCCTTTTGATAAAGGTTAATGCCTTGCCACAGGCCACACATTGTTCAATACTTTCTCACCACCATTTGCCCTAAAATCTCTGCTTATTTTCCCATCTTTCCCACACAAGCTCATAACTTACAGGAAAAGTGGATCGTATCAAAACTACAACTTTTCAAGTTGCCCTATTATGCCATGCAGAGGAAGACTACGAACTTTTAGAGATGGAAGAAGACGGTAATGAGAGGAAGAACGTTGGTCCTTACCTAAACGTTTCTTTTCTGCAGCAAAGGCCCGGCTGCCAAGCACCCAAATCTTGAGATATGCTTGTGGGGCAATGCCAGTGGTGGGTTTCAAAAATTGTTCGAACCTACTCTGTGGGTGTGGCCTCCTTTGTGTGAGTGGCTTGCCACCCATGTGACCGGATATGAAATTATGAATTAGTACTTAGGTCAGTCCAAGTAGCTATTCAGAAACTCTGGCATTGAAGCATGCAAGTCTTAAAGCCTTCAAGTTACAAGATCCTTGCACCCCTAACCCTTTAGAAAAAAAAACTAGGGGTCTTCAAACCTGACAGCTTTAAGACTTGTGGACTTCAACTCCCAGAATTCCTCCTCCAGTCACATTGGCTCAGGAACTCTGGCATTGAAGCATGCAAGTTTTAAAGCTGTCAAATTACAAGATCCTTGCATCCCTAACCCTTTAGCAGTGGTGGGTTTCAAAAAATTTTGGAACCTCTTCTGTAGCGTCCATTGGTGGAACCTCTTCTAACCGGTCCGGTAGATTTGACGAACCGGTTCTACCGAATAGGTGCGAACTGGTAGGAACCCACCTCTGGGTGATGCTATGACATTGAGGACCAGTCGTAAGTCACTTTTTTCAGCGATGCTGCAACTTTGAATGTTCGTTAAATGAATGACTGTAAGTCGAGCACTTCCTTTACTAGTTTGGCCAAAAGGTGAACTCGAAAATAGGCTGCAATTTCTACAATGCACCATAAGACTTTATCCCCAAAGGTGCTTTTTCAAGAGGCAACTGGGTTTTCCGGTTTTTCTTCGAAGACGTTTCGCTTCTCATCCAAGAAGCTACTCCAGTTCTGAAGAAGTTGAGAGCTGAAGAAGCTTCTTGGATGAGAAGCGAAACGTCTTCAAAGAAAAACCAGAAAGTTTTGTTGTCTCTTGAAAAAGCACCCTTGGGAAAACCATGACATGGATGATTGAGAATCTCCACAGACCAGTGATGGCGAACCCTTTAGACACCGAGTGCGCAAACTGTAAGGTGTGCATGTGCACGAATGTGCGCATGCCCAGACATGCGCACACCTAGACATGCATGGATGTGCACATGCACAGACATGCGTGCACATGCACAGGCATGCACGCATGTGCAGCAGAGACCCAAAGATCAGCTGGCCGGTAGCAGGCAAGGCATCCCAAAAGCGACAGCGCAGCAAGAGGTAAGATCTTTTTCTTATGTGAGTTTCTGTTCCATCATTTGCAGGGAAACAGAAGCTCACATAAGAAACGCCATGGAGATCTGACCAAGGGTGATGGCATGTGTGCCAGCAGAGAAGACTCTGTGTGCCACCTCTGGCAGGCCTGCCATAGGTTCTCCATCACAGCCACGTAACACTTTATCCTTACAAACATAAAGATTCTCACTGAATCTATTTTTTCCCCTTCGTCCAAAGCTATTAAGGTACCCATCATTCTCAGAAGAACGGTGAGCTGAGACGGGTAGGAAATTGGGACTCTGAAATCATTGGCTCTCAGCCAGAGGATACAAAGGCTACAGGAGAGATGAGCAAATGGACCTGACCCAACTCTTGACTTTCCTTGGTTTCTATAATGAGGGCATGCAGACGTTCATGAAAGAGAAAGCTATAAACCTGATTTATAAAGATGCCTTCAGATAAGGGCAGGTCACCACTGCTGATTGCTTAAAAAGATAAAATCAATGGTCTGGATGACCGTTTTTCAAAGTTCCCAGACCAGGAGTGAGATTTAGGTACCATTCACTAAATGTAACCCTCTAGACATCCTGCCCAAAATAACCGTCCCAGGAGCATTAGGGGGCAATTTGACATGTGTTGCTTTAAAAAGGCATCTGGATGCTGGATAACACAGGAGGGAACAAAGGAAAGGATACACTTTGCTCCAGGCTAAGAGAAATATTGCATCCTGTATCCTTACAAGCATCAACAGGCACGTAAAGGGAGGGCCATCCTAGTTCAACAGCAATGCTGCCCCCACCCCTGGGTTTCGGTTAAAACATGTGCTAGAACAGGGGTGTCTCAATGAACTTGATTTCATTGAGGGCTGCATCAGGGTTGTGTTTGACCTCTGGGGACCAGGGTGGGCATGGCCAGCTCATCACTTGTGTTGGGTGGGGCTGTGGTTGCCCAAGTGCTTTGCCAGCGAAAACGGGCTTCTGAGCTCTGTTTTTAGCTGCGACGGCCTCCTGCAACCCTCTGCCAGTGGAAATGGAGCATTTCCACTGGCAGAGGGCTGCAGGAGGCAGTTGCAAGCTCCATTTCCACTGGCAGAGGCTTGCAGGAGGCCGTCGCAGCCAAAAACAGAGCTTAGGAGCCCGTTTTCGTTGGCAGAAGCACCGTAGGCCATTCATCCACTGTTGACAGGGCGGCCCTGCAGGCCAGATCCAAGTACCCCATGGGCCGAATCCGGGCCCCGGGCCTGTCACTGCACCGTTGTCTTCTATGCAGAGCCTCTGCTGGCGGGGAGCCTCCCATTTTGCCCCACGCATGCCCCCTCCCTGCCGCCTCTGCTTCTACAGTGATGAACGGCCCATGCCCCCCACCCCTACACACAAACACACCACCTTGAGTTTGACACCCCTGTGCTAGAATGAGTACGCCTATAAGTTCTCGACTTATGACAACTGAGCCCCCAAATCTGTCCTTAAGTGAAGCATTTGTTAAGTGAGTTTTGCCCCCTTTTGCAACCTTCCTTGCCACGGCTGTTAAGTGAATTCCTGCAGGTGATAACCTGGTTTCTAATTAAATCTGGCTTCCACATTGACTTTGCTTGTCAGGAAGTCACAAAAGGGGATCACATGACCACAGGACACAGCAACGGTCGTAAGTAAGAACCAACTGCCAAGCAACTGAATTTTGATCACATGGTTATGGGGATGTTGCAGAGGTCGTAACTGTGAAAAATTGTCATAAGTCACATTTTTCAGTGCCATTGTAACTGCAAGCAGTCACTAAACAAACTGCTGTAAATCAAGGACTACCTGTATAGGTAGTCCTCAATTTACAACCATTCATTTAGTGACCATTCGAAACTACAATGGTACTGGAAAAAGTGACTGATGATAGTTTTCCGAATGAAGGCGAACGTACGTGACCCAGGATAATGTTGCAGGAGCCAATCTGGGTCGGTAACTGGGACCAAAGGTTTTGTCTTCTGAGTTTTCGGACTCATGCTGGAGCTCATCTTCAGCGAAGTGATAATATTTCACACTTACAACTCCCAAAATTTCTGAGGTTCAGGAATTCTGGGAGTTGAAATCCATAGCTCGTAAAGGGGCCAGAGTTGCTCATTCCTCACCAAGAAGCAAATACCTCTGATCCTGGTATTTTGTTCACATTTAAAAGCTAAAGTTTTTATACTTTTTCAGATTAACAGAGTTGGAAGGGACCTTGTAGGTCATCTAGTCCAACCCCCCAGCCAAACAGGAGATCCTACACCCTTTCTGACAAATGGCTGTCCAGTCTCTTCTTGAAAGCCTCCAGGGATGAAGCTCCCACAACTTCTGAAGGCAACTTCTTTTCCATTGGTTGATTGTTCTCACTTTCAGAAAACTTCTCCTTATTTCTAAGTTGAATCTCTCCTTGGTCAGTTTCCATCCATTATTCCTTGTCTGGCTTCAGGTGCTTTGGAAAATAGGTTGACTGCCTCCTCTCCGTGGCAGCTGCTCAAATATTGGAAGACTGCTATCATGTCTCCCCTGGTCCTTCTCTCCACTCAACTAGCCATGCCCAGTTCCTGCAACCATTCTGCATATGTTTTAGCCTCCAGTCCCCAAATCATCCTGGTTGCTCTTCTCTGCACTTTTTCTAGAGTCTCAACATCTATTTTATAGTGCGGTGACCAAAACTGGATGCATCTCCAATGGAAGAGAATATCTGTAGTTCAGGATAGAGATGTGGAGTCCTTGATGCCCTCTAAGCATGGTGGCTTGCTTGCAGACATTTCATTATATGATTAGGTAACACTACCAGTGCGTTATGGTCCCTTCTCTTTAGCCCTGAAGATGCTACCTAATTGACCTAATGAAATGTCTGCACGCAAGCATTCAAACTCAGAGAGCACAAAGAACTCCACAATCCTAATATCTGCCTATGTGCTCAAAGGTAAACTAGGATTAAATCCCCCTTAAATCAATGTAATATCAAGCTGCAAGTGTGGATTATCTATCGACTCTTCAAAAGTGTGAACATTTCTCTGCATAGAAAAATAGGTTAGTGGAGAAAAGAAAAATCAAGAATCTTTCTCCTGGCGTGTTCGTTGAGAGGCAATTTGAGCTAGCGGTTAAGCTGCTGGAGTAGCAACAGGAGACTGGAGTTGTGTGACCCTGAGCCAGTCACTTGTCTCAGCCCTAAAAAGAAAGCAATGACAAGAGAGAAACATTTACAAAAATGTCTGGAAGGCAGCATGGATTTGTGCTTGAAGTCACCAGAATTTAAGAATGACTTAAAGGCACCATCCTTCCCACAAATATGCTTACTGAAGAAGTCTAAAACTAGTTCTAAACATACAGGAGATACTATTAAAAAATGAGGTATTTATAAAACCCCAAGGAAAGAATACAGGTCAGGCATGTGAGAATTAGTGAGTGGAAGGTAATATTAACACCGAAATTAACATCAGATTAACAATCAAGAAGTAAACAATATCCCAATTAAAGAACTGCCAAACAAGCTAACAGTAAACAGCCCAATCAAAGAACTTGCAAGAATGTTCCCACCAATACTGACAGGAAACTGAGAGCAACCCCATTTCCTACTAGCACTGATGACGTTACCTAGTCTGGTAATAAAACGTCTGCAAGAAAACAACCAAGCTAAGAGAGCACTGAGGAGACTCCTTATTCCATGTAAACACAGATAGGGTGTTTCTAAACAAAGCAATGGAATAAGTACTTACAGCCCAAATCTAGGTTGTGGGCTATCACAGCAAATGCACTTATACCACCCATAAACCTTAGAAGCTTGTCGCTCTCAAGGTTGCCATGTCTTAAGATTTCAGATTGAATAGATTAACAGAGTTGGAAGGGACCTTGGAGGTCTTCAACCCCCTGCTCAGGCAGGAAACTCTACACCACTTCAGACAAATGGTTATCCAATCTCTTCTTTAAAACTTCCAATGTTGGAGCATTTACACTTCTGGAGCCAAGTTGTTCCACTGATTAATTGTTCTAATTGTCAGGAAATCACTTCTTTGTTCTAGGTTGCTTCTCTCCTTGATTAGTTTCCACCCATTGCTTCGTGTTCTACACTCAGGTGCCTTGGAGAATAGTTTGACTCCCTCTTCTTTGTGGCAACCCCTGAGATATTGGAACACTGCTATCATGTCTCCCCTAGTCCTTCTTTTCATCAGACTAGACATACCCAGTTCCTGCAAGCATTCCTCATCTGTTTTAGCCTCCAGTCCCCTAATCATCTTTGTTG